GCGCATGCACGTGTTGTAAGGTAGCGAGTACCCGTCGACGGAAAGAGACGGAATGCGTGAGCGTTTGTTGAGATACGCTCGCGCAACCCGTCGAGTGGACAGTGGGTTTGCGCTTGTCACGGGCAGCGGGTGGACGTGCCAGCTCGGCTCATACGTGAACTGTACTGTGCACTTGACCAGCTCACGAGGATCCTGTACATTCTCCAGCCCGTGCCGACTGAAGATGACGGGTGATAGCAGCGAGCCGATGCTGTACGAGGCGCCAATCACGGTAGCCGTCAAGCTCGCAGCCAGCGCCGACATGTACAACATGCACGAGCTCGGCTTCGATATTGCGGAGCCCCTCAGCATCGAGGACGAGCTCCGGTGGCGAGTGTGGGACGGTGATGTATACCATCGCGAGCTTGTTCGCAAGGAAGAACCTGAGGAGTAGGGTGTCGACAGCGAACGGTAGGCTGGGTCGAGCGGCCGAAGTGACTGCGCGGGGATCTTGACTCTTGGGGACACGGCAGCAGCGTAAGTTTGAAAGTGCATTGAAAATCCATGCAGCATTCTTTAGTGAGTAGGTACACTTAAGCAAAGGAAATGAGCGAAACCGAACATACTATGTAGACGGAACAACACGTCCAGCAGCAACACAAACGTGACACCTATGCACATCTGAGCTTCACATCTGCCATGCTCCTGCCGACGAGTGTAACCGACCTGCTCACGACGGTCCCGTACACCTCCCGGGCATGTGCAGACAACGGGCGGCAGTGGCGAGCTGACACTGAGCAGGGCGCCAGTCTCTTCTGGCTCCTTCTCGTCTTCCGGGTCGTCGTCGCCGAGCTCGCGGCCTATGCCGACGCATACGGTGCGCATAAGCTTGGTTCTAATGTGGCAAAGCCTCGGCCCATGATCAAGGACGAGTTCTGGCCTTGGCACGCACGGTTATTGAGGGCTCATTTGCAAAGAGGGACGTGCGGGATAGGTCGACGCGTAGAAGTGCGCACGTCGAGAACGAGCGGCGGGCTGCGTCGAGCACGCGGTGTATCCGAGCCTACCGCGCGAGTTGACTGTGCCAGGGTGGGTGCACCGGCAGCAGCGTGGGCGTTGATGTATCCTGGGGAACTGTGGTGCATCATGTCCTCAGTAACCGTTCTCGCAAAGAAATTTGCCAAAAATGGACGCACCGCACATAGCGAGACAGACAACGTGCTTAGCAGCGACCCCGACATGACGCGTACGTAGTGCTCTGAGCAGCAATACGGGGTGAATCGTACAGACTTCTCGATGTTAAAGGGCGAAGGAACTTACAGAAGCAAGGCGCGTTTGCGTGAAACTTACCTCGGCCGCGCGGGCCGTCTTTCGTTGGCAAATGTTGCTGCCAACGTCGTATCTGTGCAAGTGAGTAAGTTAGTATAATGTCATGAACAGTGTGTCGAAGCAGAAACACATACTAGCGCAGGATATGAGGTGATCGCTGCTAAAGACGGGGCATGAACGAGCATCCACAGCTGTATGGCAAAAAGTCAGCGCAAAGCGGACAATGTAGAGATTTGCTACGTGACAACGATGCAGGTGTGTCAGGCATACATGCTACTAGACATTCTGCAGCAAGTTTCGAGGCAGGGCGATGAGTGGTGCCATCGTCGTGGCCAGGAGTCGTCGACGTCGTTTCCTGGTTTTGGAAACGACGGGCAAAGGCCTTCTCACGGTCGACGCGGCTCTAGCACTTCTTCTGGCTTGTCTCGACTCGCAAGCACAGCTGTGATAAGTCGTGGACACGAAATGGACGCGTCTAGCGCCACAGATGCCCCGAATCGTCTCTCCTCGAGCTGCCACGAGCTTGCACAACGCTGCGACTCGTGTCGCATCGCAAAGGCCAGCCCGCGCAATCCTCCAGGATGGCACTTATTGCCACAGTTGCTGTACAGGCTGGGACGGCTGTGCCCTCAGGCCAACACGAGTGGACTTTACGCAGTGAATCCTGCCGAGACCTGACATTAGTGAAAGGAATAGATTGGAAGATCAACATAGACGCACCTGGTGTGCGGCCGCAGTCCGATTCGCTCGGCACGCGTGCACTGCAGCGCTGCAGACCGCGGTGCATTGCAGCGCTGCACGCCCCACCCGTCTGCAGCGACTGGTTCGTTGTAGCGCTGCGACCGCAACGATGCAATCGGCCGCGGAGGGCACGACCGTTTCGGCAATCGCCGAAGGGCGCGCGGAAGCCCAGAGCCTTCGCGGCTCGGTCTGCGGGCGCCCGCGCGCGGGGGATACGCCATGTACGAGCCCCATTTTTTCTCGTTCTCTCAGTGTAAGCTATGAGTTGGACAGTACAGAACTCAGCATGTCGGGAACGTACAGAAAAAACATGTCCGCGTCTGGTTTGATCTGGTCCGAATCTGGTTTGATGGGGATTTAATTTCGTAGCGTCCCACGGCGACTCGAGGCGCCTCGGCGCGTTTCGGCGCGTGCCTTGCATCGATGCATTGCAGCGTTGATGCAAGGTTTCTGAAGGTTCTGGTGTTTCCCGTGACCTGGCCGTTCCTTCGACCGCCCCCACCACTACCTTCTGTTACCACCTCCGCAACCTCCATGCCTCTCCCTTGTTCTCCAATGATGCCGGCTTCTTGAATGTACGCCCCGTGGACATTCGTCAATGATTCTCTGAACCCCGGCTCCGCCTACGCCTTGATATGCGTGCTGTACGCCCTAGTCTGAAACCGCGTCCCACTCCCCAATCCCATCACTCAACTTGCGAAGGTGTGTCCCCTCCTCTCTGCGTCTGTCAGGTACTCTGAATGTGACTCTGATTGCCCGAGGTGAATTTGAAGCTTCGGTACAAGCAGCGGACGGATACAGACGAATACGCCTGGAGCCTGCGCCGCTTCAATGAAACACTCCGCAACTCGCCCATGCCGATATATCATACTAGATTGGGAATGCTCACGAACATCATTGCAACGTGCGTGCACCCTAATATCTTTGTGGGATTGTAGCGCTGACATGACTCTCAGTTCGACAGCGCTAGCAACATCCATCCACCTGCGTGTCGTTCAGGTGAACCCGACGCAGGTGCCGCGGCTGAGGATGGTTGGCGCGGAGGGGGGGCTGGAGCTGGATGGAGCCGTGTATAGGATCGGGACGAGCAAGATATTTTTTAAGGCGGGGGTGCTGGCGGAGCTGGAGGAGAGGAGGGACGCGCTGCTGTTTGATGTGTTTAGTAGGATGCAGGCGGCTGCGCGGAGGTATAGCGCGCGGAGGCATGGCGACGCGCACGATCCAGCGCAACGCGCGCATCTACGCCGCGCTGCGCGACTGGCCGTGGTGGCGCCTCTACACGAAAGTGCGCCCGCTCCTGACCGCGACGCGCTCGGACGAGGAGCTTTTACGGAAAGAGCACGAGCTGGCGCTAGCGCGCGAGCGCGCGGAGCGCGACGCGAAGGAGAAGGAGGCGATGGACGCGCTGCGGATGCGGCTGGAGAGTGAGAAGCGGCGCGCGGACGAGGCGCTGGTGCGGGAGCGCGCGCTGGTGCTTGATAAGGATGGCTTGTTGGAGCGGAGCAAGAAGCGGGAGGCGGAGCTCGAGGAGGAGGTCGCGGCGCTCGAGGCTGATCTGGATGCAAGAGACGCGCAGCTCGATCGCGCGCTCGCGATTCAGAGGGAGAGCGAGGAGAAGCATCGCGTGTTGCAGGCGGCGTTCGACGACGCGGCCGAGCACCTCGTGCGGCTCGAGGCCGAGCAGAGGGAGTGGGGCGAGAGGGAGGACGTGTTGGCGCAGCAGTTGGCGGAGGCGGATAGGGAGCTCGAGGGGCTGGAGGGCGAGAGGGAGGGATTGGAGAAGGAGAGGGCGGATCTGCGGAGGCTGGTGGAGCAGAGCGGGGAGGATCTGGGGAGGGCGAGGGAGAGGATGGAGGGGGTCGTCGCGGAGCTTGAGGGGAGGCTTGCGAGTGAGACGCGCAGCAAGTGAGTGTTTTTCTATTGTGCGACGTGTGGGAGGAGGTGTGCTGATGTGATTGAATAGGGACGCGCTGAAGAGCAAGGCGGACGCGCATGAGCAGGATGCAAGGCAGGCGCGCGAACAGCTCGCTGAGCTCACGCGTACGGCGGCGGACTACGCCGACATGATCAAGGCGCGCGAGTCCGACCTGTCCCGCCTGCGCTCTGAGCTCGACGCATCGAAGTCCGAACGCAGCCGCCTGTCCAAAGAGATCGCGAGCCTCGAAGGCCGCATCTCCACGCTCTCCGCCGAAGTCGGCTCGCTACGCTCTTCGGACGAGCGGCACAGCGCGACGCAGGCGCGGCTGCAGGGTGAACTCGATGAGTTGAGGATGCTGTTGCAGGCGAAGACGAGCGAGGAGAGCGCGCAGAGGGAGGTGCAGAAGCGGACGACGGAGGAGCTGCACGAGCTTAGGGCCCAGGTTGCCGAGCTGCAGAGTCTGCTCGACGAGGCGCGGATCGCGGCGACGGATGCGCAGGCGCGGTTGAAGGTCGAGCTTGACACGGCCACGCGCGAGCATGCGTCGTTGCTGCAGAGCCATCGGTCGCTTTCGGACCGCGCGCAGGCGTTGGACGCGAGGCTTAAGGCTTCTGAGGCGCAGCTCTCCGAGGCTGAGAAGGCGAAGCGTAGTCTTGAGAGCGAGATGCAGGGTCTGAGGACGCGACAGATCGACGTCGACACGCAGCTTGCGGAGGTCAGCAAGGCCAAGGGCGCACTCGAGCGCCAGATCGCGGCGGCACACGCGAAAGCGCAGGACTTTGAGGATACGGCGCTACAGCTCGAGCGTGAGAAGAACGCCACGGACCGCGATCTCGAGCGCTTGAAGCAGCAGCTCGAAGCGGAGAGCGCCAAACGCGCCGAGGCGGAGAAGAGGGCGTCGAGTCAGAAGCAGGAGCTCGTGCTGTTGAGGGACAAGAACGCGAAGCACGAGAAGGAGCTCAACAAGACGCTCACGGATCTGAAGAATAAGGAGTGGGAGGTGAGGCAGCTGGAGAGCAGGCAGGACAAGACGATCGTGGAGCATGTGCATGTGCTGCAGGAGGCGAAGCGCGTTACGGAGGCGCAGCTCACGGAGGCGAGGAAGGAGCTGCAGGCGCAGGATTTGTATATTAAGAGTTTGGAGAAGGTCAAGATGAGGTTGACGAGCGAGGCGGAGGATCTGGCGAGGGCGACGGAGCAGGAGCATGTGCAG